GTGGCCACAGGACTGGAAAAGTTGTTTTCATTCCAATCCCAAAGAAAGGCAATGCCAAAGAATGCTCAAACTGCCGCACGATTGCACTCATCTCACACGCTAGCAAAGTAAGGCTCAAAATTCTCCAAGCCAGGCTTCAACAGTAGGTGAACCATGAACTTCCAGATGTTCAAGCTAGATTTAGAAAAGGCAGAGGAACCAGAGATCAAATTGCCAACATCCACTGGATCATTGAAAAAGCAAGAGAGTTCCAGGAAAACATCTACTTCTGCTTTATTGACTCTGCCAAAGCCTTTGACTGTATGGATCACAACAAACAAAAATTCTTGAAGAGATGGGAATACCAGACCACCCGACCTGCCTCCTGAGGAATCTGTATGCAGGTCAGGAAGCAACAGTTGGAACTGGACATGGAACAGACTGGTTCCAGATCTGGAAAGGAGTATGTCAAGGCTGTATATTGTTGCCCTAATTATTTAACGTATATGCAGAGTACATCATGAGAAATGCCAGGATGGATGAAGCACAAGCTGGAATCAAGACTGACAGGAGAATTATCAGTAACCTCAGATATGCAGATGACACCACCCTTATGGCAGAAAGCGAAGAAGAACCAAAGAGCCTCTTGATGGAAGTGAAAGAGGAGAATGAAAAAGTTGGCTTATAGCTCAACATTCAGAAAACTAAGATCATGGCATCCGGTCCCATCACTTCATGGCAAATAGATGGGGCAACAGTGGAAACAGTGACAGACTTTAATTTTTTGGGCTCCTAAATCACTGCAGATGGTGACTGCAGCCATGAGATTAAGAGGCTTGCTTCTTAGAAGGAAAGCTATGACCAACTTAGACAGTATATTAAAAAACAGAGACATTACTTTGCCAACAAAGGTCTGTGTAGTCAAGGCTATGGTTTTTCCTGTAGTCATGTATGGATGTGACAGTCGGACTGTAAAGAAAGCTGAGCACTGAAGAATTAATGCTTTTGAACTGTGGTGTTGGGGGAGAGTCTTGAGAGTCTGTTGGACTGCAAGGAGATCCAATCAGTCCATCCTAAAGGAGATTAGTCCTGAATATTCATTGGAAGGACTGATGCTGAAGCTGAAACTCCAATACTTTGGTCACCTGATGTGAAGAACGGACTCATCTGAAAAGACCCTGATGCTGGGAAAGAAGGCAAGAGGAGAAGGGGACAAGAGAGGATGAGGTGGTTGGATGGCACCACCGACTCAATGGACTAAGTCTGAGTCAACTCCGGGAGTTGGTGATGGACAGGGAGGCCTGGTATGCTGCAGTCCATGGGGTTGCAAAGAGTTGGACACAACTGAGTGACTGAACTTAACTGATGGATGTTCCTTACCGTACGATCCTGCAGTGCCACTCCTGAACATATATCCGGAGAAAAATATAATTTGAAAAGATACATGCACCCCAGTGTTCACTGCAGTGCTATTTAAAATAGCCAGGACATGGAAGCAACCTAAATGTTCATCCATAGATGAATGGATAAAGAAGATGTACACACACACACATATACACACAGAGGAATATTACTCAGCCATAAAAAGAATGAAATAACGCCATTGGAAGCAACATGAATGGACCTAGAGTAATATACTGAGTGAAGTAATAAGCCAGGTGGAGGAAGACAAATAGGTTGCTTATTGTGCAATCTAAAAAATGATGCAAATGAACTTACTTACATAACAGAGACTCACAGACATAGAAAACAAAATTATGGTTACCAAAGGGAAAGGGGGGAAGATAAAATAGGGAGTTTGGGATTAAAATATATATACTACTATATATAAAATAAATCACCAACAAGGACCTACTATACGGCCCAGGTTTATTATACTCAGTATCTTGTAATAACCTATAATGGAAGAGAATGTTAAAAAAAACCCCAAAACTACATATTTATACACATGTGTAACAATCAGTTTGCTATACACCTGGAACTAACACAACATTGTAAATCAACTCTTCTTCAATAAAAGTTAAAAAATCAAAGTCAGAAAACATTAAAAAAAAAAGAGAGCGCCTTATACAAAAGGACTAAATATTGTGTTTCCATTTCTAAGAAGTTCCAGAACAGACAAAACAATTTATGGTGAAAAAGATTATGATGTGTGCTTCGGGGGTCAGGGCTGAGGCTAACCTGGAAGTGGCCTGACAGAACTTTGTGGGTGATGGAAACGTTCTGTATCTGGACAGGCACTCAGGTTAGATACGTATATAGCTTCCCCAGAACTTACCAAGTGGGCTTGAAATTTCTATAGTTTCATTGTTTGAATGAAAATCTTTACCTAAAAAAAGATCAAAAAATGTTAAATGATCACTGTGGTAGTGTTTCAGTGATTTTCAATTATTTCTAAGGAGACCCAGCAAATGGCCTGTTCTGTTGTAACTGACAGCTACCCAACTTTTAAATACGTGCCACATACTGTGCTAATATTTTGCTTGGCATTCCTTTTTAATTAAAAACACTATGAGGGTAAGGACCATTATAAGTCTTTACAGATGAGGAAAGATGAGGCTTAGGAAAGGTACCAACATCATATGACACTTGCCATCTCAAGCCCTGTGGAGAATTCAGATTTCTTCTGCTGATGAATAATTACCCCACTCAAACTTGACAGAGTAAGAGCATAGAAACTGAATGTGCACAGTAAATATTACTGATTTTGGTTGAATTTTTATGTCTCCTAACAGTGTTCTGTGCTGCAGCTTTTCCCTGAACACTAAATCAGTTTTAAGGGAATGCAAGAGTGAGTGTTAGAAGTTTTTTTAGGAAGGATCTTTTTTCACCAGGCATCCTTTCTAGTCCAGGTGATTTTCAAACTATTCTTCATATAAAATCATACATGGAAACCTTTGTAAAATACAGATCAAAGCCATGGGGCTAGCAGCTCCATCTCTTCAGTTTCTCCAGTCCTTCCAACTCACTTCTGTATCATCTGTCCATCTTCGGTGACAGAGCCCAGTTAATCTTCCCCCCAAAGCTTAATGTGCTTGTAGAAAGGTGGGACGTTCACAGAGGGATGCATGTACATTCATACCTACATACACACACTCAAGGATATAGTTTTATAAACAATACTTAAAATAATTTTCCTATAATGTATGATGCATTTTGATATTTTATAACCAAGTTGATTTAGTGATGATTAATAGTTCAAAACCCACCTTTTGAAACACCGCTGTCCACACCTCCTGATCATCTTCCTTGACATCACCAGTGAGAACTGGAGAACTTGTTGAGAATGTACTTAAGGACAAGGGCTGCCTGTAAGAAAAAGGTCACACGAACATTGCCGCTTAGGGTTAGAACATAAATGAGTTATTCTGACTTTTTTTGGGAAAACAGAAATTTCTTCTCACTGAAGCCTTTCTAATAAAAACAGAAGATTGTTGAATTATTTTTAATTGAGCTTTGAGGCAGACTGATGAGGTAGCAGCCAGAGATTTCCTTAATAAACTAGCTTGGCTTTGAATTTCAGCCTGCATAGTTCTCTAGCCTTAAGTTGTCTTCAAAGGAGTAATCAAGCTGTTCCTTCTCAGCCAAACCAGGCAGGAAGGTCAAAAATTGAGAACGTGAGGTGGCTTCGAGATTCCAGAAGCTGCTGCTGTGAGCCCAGCGTGAATGATTACCCCTGACCCAAGAAGGCCTGCCACCAGTTGACCCATGTCCCCACTGCCCTCTGAACAAATCGAGAAGGCTCTTCACACACATTTTCAAATTACTGAGTCGTATTGGCTTGACTGCTTGAGACTAGTATCATGTCACTTTAAACCAAAGGATAGACCTATAGCTCAGACTTAATGTGATGGGGAAGACAAGATAATCAAACACCTCAACAGCAGAGGAACGTGTAAGTCACAAGTCAAGATCAAAATGATTTACATTTTATCTGGCTCCAGAATCATGGTAGAAATGAAATCAATCACAGAGTTAGGATTCCTGAAATGTAAGTTGTTTTTAATATATTTAAAAGCACACTGAAGTCTCCTTGATTTATAAAAATAAATACATAATATGACAAATTTATTTATGATCCTGGGGCTCTTAGGAGGTTGAACTCTTTAACAGATGTGACGTATCAATGTAAAACATACATGATCTGTTATACACCCAGAAGCAGATTCCAGTTGTAAAATTCCTTCAAGGATCAGAATGAACACAGATCAGTCTTCCGCTATAGAAAGCATGTCCAGAGCTGGGCAGTGAGGGTGGGCCCAGGCGCAGCAGCCTCTGACCAGCCAGTCTACAGGTAAGGAGCCAAGGCAGGAAGGTGCAGCCCTTCAGCTCACAGCGCCACCCTGTAGGACAGCCGGGCCCCTAACTGCAGTGACTGGCTCCCTCAAGGGCTCCACGAGGCACCCAGCCTCTGCTGTGTCTCTGAAGCACAGGAGGGCTATTTTGTCCTTACCTGTGGCTCTGTCTTAATTTGGGAGGAGAAAACTGAGAAGGCGTACTCACTGAATATTGTCATTATAACACTGAATGGAAATTATGATCCTGTCATGGGCGCTGAGCTGAGCTGAGAGGATGCAAGAACTCACACTGGGCTTTCAGAGACAGGGAGGACAGGTGAGTGAGCATGCGCATCTGAGGTGGGCAAGAAGGGAGTGCTTTCTCCAACCAACCTGCTCTTATGGGCAAAGGAGTCTGGCCTAAAATACCTGAAAAGTGGGTTGGAGAATCAAGTTTTTACCCCTGTAACACACAACATAAAAATAAACAACGAGAACAAAAATCCAGTCTTGTTAGTAGATAGCTGAATTGCGATTAAAACCTGAAATGTTTCTGTGTAATTGTCAAAAGGCTGGAATGTATCTGGTACAGTTTAATCTGCTGTTGTTTCTTTGGCTGTCTTTCAGTTCGATCAACAGAAATGGTTTTTGACACTCTCAATCCTATTTCCCAGACCACTGAATTCCTGTCATTTTTAGGTTGGCTAGTTTTCCTTCATCAGAAAAATGACCCCAACGACCTTCCTATGAGTGAGGGTGTACTTCTGAATAGAAGAGTCCTTCGGCGGAGATGGCATCTCCGAGGCCCACAGTTCGAACAGGATCTTTACACACCAACACGGGTGTGAAGTGGAAGGACACGCCCTCCCTGTGCCATTCGACCACTGGCTCACTTGGGTTTAACACAACCCTGGAGCCGGCCTCCAAACGGGAGGTCATGAACTCGTGGGGTGCCTTCAGAGACACTCGGCGCGTGTCTATGGTTTCCGTTGCGCAGGCCTGTGTCCCGGCCACACGGGCTCCTGCAGCCACGGCTGCCAGCTGGTTGGCCCAGTGTCCATCCACAGTCACCAGGATGTGGTAGGCCAGCGTGTGGAAATGGATCCTGCTGAGGTCTGAGGCTCTGCTTTCACTTTTCCCATGTTCCTTCAAGATCCAAAAGAGGATGTCGCTGACCACGCCCACGTCAGGAACACCATTCCAGGAAGAAAGAGAAGAGTGAGGTCCAGATGCCGACTGGCTGAGAAATAACAGCTCCTGTTCATTCAGCCCCAGGGAAGTCACGGCAGGAAAGACCTGCTAACAGAAACAAAATGGGGGTCTCTTTCTGATGGACACCTAGCTCCTAACTCTCCTAGGACGTGGCCAGTGACAGAAGGCAGGGCCATCTTCCTTCCGAGAGGACTCCCTGCCCCTGAGGTCACCAAGTGACGGACCAAGGTCACTGTCCTGGCTCTCACACCTCTATCCCCACTTGCAGTATCAAGCGCAGTCACGGGGAAGGCGCAGTGATGCTGTATTAGAGCCAGCCTCCGGGTACACGCTGAGGACAAAGCAGTGTGCCCAGCCTCTGCTCTGGCACGGGCAGCAGAGCCTCTCACCACACGGGGCCCGACTCAGCTCCCGAACACCAGCAGCTGTTACACCCGCACAGTGGAGAAGAGCCCACCCCTCGGCCAGGGTTGTAAGGAGAGTGCCCCGTGTCAGATCTAAGTTTTTTGAGCAGGTGTGGGTTAGGAAAACCGTTACGCGATAATAACACTGTGGAAAATGGCACCGAACAGGAGCCAGCTCTTCTACCTTGAGGGGAAGCACGATGTCCACCTCACTGTCTGTCTTACTTAGCACTTCCTTCCTCAGAGCAGGGACCTGCAGAAAGTGAATGTCTGTGCAGAGAGAGGAGCCCTGTGTGTGTTTATATAAAAACCAGGGGCGCTAATGTAATAGCACTTCCATTTGCCGCATGGTCTATGTCAGATGCCAAGCTAACAGCTCTATTTCACTCACTTCTTGCTGTAACACTCTGAAGGAAGGAGGGGTTGCCTCCACCTTACAGATAAGGGGACAGAGGCTTAGAAAGATCAGGTAGATAGCAATGCAGAAAATGAAACAAACATGGCTTTTTAAAGAAGTGAAAAAATAACCTCAAGAAGAGAAATACATGAATAAAAATCATACTGAAAAGCACCAGGCGTGAACCCTAATGTAAACTATGGACTCTACATGACGACGACTTAGTGTTGGTTCACTGACTGTGACAAATGTCCCATCTGCGAACGGGGGAGGCTGTGGCTGGGGGGTGGGGGGTGCAAGAGCTATGTGGGAACCTACATCCTGCTCACTTCTGCTGTGAGCCTAAAACTGCCCTAAGCACCTTTCACATGTCAGACTGGTAAGAAAGCACATTTAAAAATCACGTTTCAGCGGCAAAGATGAGGGAAAAAACACTGTGAAGAATTCTAGTAGAAGTAAACCTGTGCTGTGCTCATGAATGCCAACTTTGCAGGATCAAACTGACAAATGCTTTTTATGCCCCAATCTAGCAGTTCAACTTCTGAGAATGTATCATCCACATGTACCTGGTCACGGGTCAAATTAAACTCATGTAAAAGGTTATTCAGTGCAGCACTGTAGGAGCAGAAAAGGGCAGTGAGCCCAACACTCGGCTCTGGCTGGCATTAAAGACCCTGTGTGCACCACCGCTGCTTCCACCCACGTGGCAGTAGGGAGACTGATGACCCTTCACGTAATGACAGAGAAAACATCTTCAAAATGCATCCAGTGGAAAAAAGCAACGTGTACAACAGTCTATGCAGTGTTCTATGCTATCTTTTGGGATAAAGAGGGATGAAATAATAAGGCTGTATTCCCTATTTGCTTATATATGCACACAATGAATCTGGAGGGATGAGACAAAACTCTTAAGGAGGTTACCAACAGTGGGTACAAGGGCAGGAGGAAGGGAGATTTCTTTGTGCATCTTGTAATACTTTGTGAATTTTGAACCATATGTTACCCATGAAAGATGTTAAAAAACAAGAGGTTAACTAACCTGCCTAAGTTCACAGAGCTAGAGAGTGACAGGCAAAGCTGGCATTCCAATCCTGGTTTTCAAAATCTGCTCTCAAACATCCCACTCTTGGACTTCTCTGATCATTGTTACTGTCCAAAGGCTGAACACCTGGGGGCCTGATGGCGAGGGAGTGTAGCGTCCCCCAAATTTCCTTTCTCTGAGCTTCCTGAAGTTCAGCTGAAAGCACTGGGGTTGGGTTTTTGGTTTTCTCCTTTGGGTTCCACTGCAAAAGGCATTCACTTCCAACCTCCACATGCTGGAAGGAAAAGGACACACTACGAACCCACTGGTAACACGCCCGTGAAACACATCAGTAACTCCGCCGAAATCAGACTGATTATATTTTTTGCAGTCAAAGGTGGAGAAGCTCTAAACAGTCGGCAAAAACAAGACCGGGAGCTGACTATGGCTTAGATCATGAACTAATTGCAAAATTCAGACTTAAGTTGAAGAAAGTAGGCAAAACCACCAGACCATTCAGGTATGACCTAAATCAAATTCCTTATGATTATACAGTGGAAGTGACAAATAGATTGAAGGGATTAGATCTGATAAGAGTGCCTGAAGAACTATGGACAGAGAGGTTCATGACATTGTACAGGAGGCTGTGATCAAAACCACTCCCAAGAAAAAGAAATGCAGAAAGGCAAAATGGTTGTCTGAGGAGGCCTTACAAATAGCTGTGAAAAGAAGAGAAGCAAAAGGCAAAGAAAAGGAAAGGTATATCCATCTGAAGACAGAGTTCCAAAGAATAGCAAGGAGAGAGAAGAAAACCTTCTTAAGTAATCAATGCAAAGAAATAGAGGAAAACAACAGAATGGGAAAGACTAGAGATCTCTTCAAGAAAATTCGAAATACCAAAGGAACATTTCATGCAAAGGTGGGCACAATAAAGGACAGAAACAGTATGGACCTAACAGAAGCAGAAGATATTAAGAAGAGGTGACAAGAATACACAGAAGAACTGTACAAAAAAGATGTTAAGGACCCAGATAAACATGATGGTGTGATCACTCACCTAGAGCCAGACATCCTGGAATGTGAAGTCAAGTGGGCCTTAGGGAGCATCACTACGCACAAAGCTAGTGGAGGTGATGGAATTCCAGTTGAGCTATTTCAAATCCTAAAAGATAATGCTGTGAAAGTGCTGCACTCAATATGCCAGCAGATTTGGAAAACTCAGCAGTGGCCACAGGACTGGAAAAGGTCGGTTTTTATTCTAATTCCAAAGAAAGGCAATGCCAAAGAATGTTCAAACTACTGCACAAATGCACTCATCTCTCACGCTAGCAAAGTAATGCTCAAAATTTTCCAAGCGAGGCTTCAACAGTATGTGAACCGAGAACTTCCAGTTGTTAAAGTTGGATTTAGAAAAGGCAGAGGAACCAGAGATCAAATTGCCAACATCCATTAGATCATAGAAAAAGCAAGAGAGTTCCAGAAAAGCATCTACTTCTGCTTTATTGACCACGCCAAAGCTTTTGAGTGTGTGGATCACAGTAAACTGTGGAAAATTCTTAAAGAGATGGGAATAAACGACCATCTTACCTGCCTCCTGAGAAATCTGTATGCAGGTCAAGAAGCAACAGTTAGAACCAGATATGGAACAACAGACTGGTTCCAAATTGGGAAAGAAGCACGTCAAGGCTGTATATTGTCACCCTGCTTATTAACTTCTGTGTAGAGTACATCATGAGAAATGCTGGGCTGGATGAAGCACAAGCTGGGATCAAGATTGCCGGGAGAAATATCAATAACCTCAGATATGCAGATGACACCACCCTTATGCCAGAAAACAAAGAGGAACTTAAGAGCTTCTTGATGAAGGTGAAAGAGGAGAGTGAAAAAGCTGGCTTAAAACTCAACATTCAAAAAACTAAGATCATGGCATCTGGTCCCATCACTTTATGGCAAATAGATGGGGAAACAATGAAAACAGTGACAGATTTTGTTTTCTTGGGCTCCAAAATCACTGCAGATGGTGACTGCAGCCTGAAATTAAAAGATGCTTGCTCCTTGGAAGAAAAGCTATGACCTACCTGGACAGCACATTAAAAAGCAGAGACATTACTTTGCCAACAAAGGTCTGTCTAATCAAAGCTATGGTTTTTCCAGTAGTCATGTATGGATGTGGGAGTTGGACCATAAAGAAAGCTGAGCGCTAAAGAATTGATGCTTTTGAACTGTGGTGTTGGAGAAGACTCTTCAGAGTCCCTTGGACTGCAAGATCAAACCAGTCAATCCTGAAGGAAATCCATCCTGAATACTCACTGTAAGGATTGATGCTGAAGCTCCAATACTTTGGCCACCTGATGTGAAGAAATGACTCCTTGGAAAAGACCCTGATGCTGAGAAAGAGTGAAGGCAGGAGGAGAAGGGGACGACATAGGATGAGATGGTTGGATGGCATCACCGACTCAGACATGAGTTTGAGTAAGTTCTGGGAGTTGGTGATGGACAGGGAAGCCTGGTATGCTGCAGTCCATGGGGCAGCAGAGAGTCAGACAGGACTTTTTAGTTTAGTTGGCTAAACTGAACTAAACGAACCCATCAGTAACTCTGCCGCCTTCCTAACTCAGCAGGAGATGCTGCTCCTGGGCTCCTGACTTGGAGCTCATGGACCAGGTCTGGGTGAGATGACACCCACGGCGCCCTGAGCCCCGAGCATGGCCGGTGGGTTACCTGGTGCACGATGCTGCTCATGAGCTCCTCGTTGGTCATGCTGGCCAGCTCCAGGTGAACCGGGACACCCGCAGGGATGTCAGAAATGGAGGTCACGACCTGCAGAGACAAGAGGGGACCACTGCCATCAGAAACAAGGAGTCAGGCAAGAGGGAAGGATGGGTCCAAGAGGCAGTGCATCCTCATGAGAGCTCCTGGCTATGTGGGCGACCACAGTCTCTGTGGACAAGGGAGGCTTTGCCCAACAGGGACAACTAGGTTCTGCTGGGAGGCGCTGGGGTTAAGGACTCGCAACGCATCAGGAAGCCCCCCTAAACGTTCACACAGCCAGCTTCCTCCTAGTGACCTAAACTGAGCAATCGGCTTCAACTGCTGTGTGACTCTGCAACACAGCTGATGTGAATGAGATGATACGGAAAACGTGAAGGACACAGACCACAAACACTGCAGCCATGTTTGGTTCAGCACAGGAAGCAGAGGCTCAGGCAAGATCATGTTTTGACCTACTCAAGCTGCCGCCTGCGCCTGAAAGAACACCGTGAGGCGCCTCGCTGCAGTGGGAGGCAGGCTTCTTGGCTACCACGACCCATCCCGGGAGGCTGGGACGGAGGGCAAGGCAGTGCAGGCTGCAGAGGCCGGGAGAGGCGGGAATCCGAAGGGAAACAGGAGCTGCCATCTGTGAAACTGCAACAGTGCCACCGTTACCTCCAAGAGCCTCTTCCTCTGGAACTCCTTGCTGTGTCCCTCCATCATGTGCAATCCAGAGAGGACCACCAGGTCTGGCTGAAACTCCTCCAGGCTAGACACAAAGACCTCCAGCATATTCATGGCCCCGTTGGAGAGGTCGTGGGAGAAGATGAACCGGTTGGCATGGGGAGCTTTTAACTGGTCCCACTCCTCCCCTAGAAAAGCCCAGTCAACACAACGGGAAGAAAAGGAAGAGGCTTTGAGTCTCCGAGATGTGTGGGGAAGGCAGGGCCTCACTGGAGCCTTGGCTCGGGGCAGGCGGGCTTCTGGTTGAGTGAATCCCAGCTGCCATAGCCTAAGGGGAGCATGGCTGCGGCCAGGACGGTGGTCAGCAATGAACCAGAAACCCCAACCCCTCAAAAACACAGTATGGATGCTAGTGCTATGTGCCTTTGTCAAGGGCTGGCAGGGTCACGCCCCTCGCGTCTCGGCAAAGGTCTCCTGTCCCCTCAGTTCTCACACCCAGGAGCCCGTGTCTCTCCCCACACAGATCATGGCTCCCAAACACCAGTGTGCAGTATACCGTGTGGGCCCTGCATGCAGGCAGGCTGCCTTTCCTGAAGCAACTGCCACCTCTCAGGAGCGCCCTAGCATCTGTGATGTCATTGGGACCTAAGGAGGCTGGAATTCCAGGAGCCAGGCTGACCACCCCCCCCCCCCAGCCTTGCTGCCCACTGGTGATTTCTGGGCATTTGATCTGGAAGCTCAGAGTAAATGGCTGCTCTAGCCTCCTGTGAGCAAGCTGCTCTGGAGTAATGACCATAATAAGGAATAAAAGATTCTGTTCACACGTTACTTCCTCCCTAAATGGTTGATGTGTAGCTGGCAGCCCCCCTGTAGATCCTGATGTGCAGTTAGGTGGTGAAGTACCAGTGAAGACGCCGCCCCCTGCCCCCCGCCAATACACACAGCTGCCAAGCACTCGAGCGGAGGGTGCTAGTGCCTGAGTTCTAAGGGAGGGGGCGGTGTGGGGGCAAGAGGTTTTTCCAAGCCCATTCTGCGCCATACCATGCAGATCCCACACTCCTCTCCTTAAAGTCTTGAAAATCTCAAAACTCAGCCTAAGGGCTGCCTAGGCAATTCCTTAAGAGGTCAGGTCCCCCTGAGCACCAGGGGGAAGCAGTCACCCCCAGCCCGGGGTGCTGCCAGAAACTGGCATGATTTATGACCCGGGCTTACACCACTTTCCTTCCATGTGAAGCATCTGCCCCATTTACAAAACTGAAGTCCATACGATGAAACCTAGTTTTTCATTGGTTTCATCATTTACTGGCTCTTCCTTCAGAAAGTCTTTCCCCAAGGCAGACTAACCCTGGAGGAGGATCTGCATGCTGCAGGCTGATCTGTCCCCTGGGTCAGCACCCCATTTCCTTCCTTCCTCTACTGGGCCCCTTGTTTTTTTTGGGGGGGGGGCGGGTGGCAGCCACCCTCCCCTTGCTCTGAGTTCAGCTTTACTGAATCCATTCCTCTGAAAAACATTTTATATGTGGGACATGTGTACAAAAATCTATGAAAGCAGGAAAGAAAACATCACCAATTTCCTAAAACCTGATGTAATGGTTGTATTTGTTAAAACACCACATTCCTTTCGACTCCTAACCCATATCTTATTATTTGTCCAAAGAAAATGCCCCATGGTGATCCACAGAGCTGATGGCAGCATCCCCCTCTGCTTCATCTCTGAAGACCCAATGCAGGGGGGCCTCACTGAACTGTCAACCTCCAAGCAGACACAATTCTGGTACCTTCTTCCCTGGGCCACTGCTGTATTAGAGGACTTGGCATGCGACTGTGCAATCATTTATTTATTCAAGAGTCCACCTCCTGTAGTGATGTGTGGGCTGAGGAAAGGGCCTGTGTCTTCTTTTACCAACATACTTCTACTGCCTCACACCACACCTGGCATTTAGCCACGAGACGGAATCAGCAAAGGAACATGTGAGGAAGAGGACAGATCAATGACGCAGGTGCCCATGACACAAACGATGTGGGGTATGCACACTAAACCAACACTTGCCCAACCAACAAGATTCTGTACAATGGTAAAAACATGCAACCCAGGTATTCTCCTCAGGACAAGACCTGGAACTGCTACTCAGAGCAAAACTATGCAGAAGCACGATCTAACTTAACCTAGGAAAGAGGAGCCACACAGCATTCAAAACAAACTAATTTCCAAAGCAAAAAGGAGAGGGAGGCAAAATAAACATGCTTCCGCAAGGCAAAGACAAGAAGGGATGTGGAGAGCTGACCGCTGCCAGTTTCCACAGGACTGATGGAGTGGCCCGAGAAGCAAAATGACTGCAACACAGACAGGGTGAGCCTGTGTCTCTTTTCTAAGTTTTGAATTTATTTCCTTAAGTGATCCCTTCTTTCAGTTTATGATCCTGCCCTTCAGCCAGTAAGTCAGCAAAACCTATGCAGTGACTCACTGGCCACAAGCCTGAAAATAAGCTTCTCTGAGGTCTGGTAGGAGAGAAGGAAAAAATGTTGACAAATCCCCTCTGGGAATTTACCCATCTAGGTTAGAGAGATGCTGGGGATGGATTTATGTTACAAGAGCTGACCTGAGAGCTGCTGCCACCAGACTAGGTTTCCTCCAGAGGCTGATGAAAATATAACTTCCCATTGAGCTGACTGGAAGGCCACTGCTTAGTACTAAGAAATAAGGCATGGAAAAGAAAAACTAAAGTGGGAAGCTTGTAAACCCAAGGATGGAGGCAATCTCTTCTCAAGATAAGCTGTGCTGTCTTCTTTACCACATACAAGGCACAGCTGTCAAAGGCACCAAAGGCTTGGTGCTAGTTCTCTCCACTCTGCCATCACCAGGGAAGATGATTGGAACAGGGACCACAGGTTCTGAACGGAGCACCGATGAGATGGATATGGAACTAGCAGCAGCGGCAGTAGCACCCCAAAGGCACACCTTCAGCCATTCTAGACCCTTCCGGTCAACAAACTGACTCATGCCTTTCACCGAAGCGGTTCACTGCTCACCACTACCTTCAGGCACTAAAAGCCATTACTCTGCTTTCCCGTGAAAACTGAGAGAAACTCAAAAACTGTGCAAATGGGAACTGCCCATTCCAACATTCTGGCTCTAATTTTCAGACCCTGCCTTTCCTAACCCCCTCAATTCTAGTAAGCATCCAAAAGAGAAACAGAAACAATTCTTTTTTTGTACTTGGACGAAGGCGTGATTTTTATATCTTAAAGTCAATTACTTTAGTAGGTAAGGGTTTCTTAAGCATCAGACTTGGAAGCACTTCGCTAATGCTTAATAACTAAGTACTGCTTTAAGGTACCAATTAGTCTATTTAGATGCTTAAATCTTTACCTTGAGTTAATGATGTGATGAATTGGAAATTCAAGAGTTCTATGCACAGGAAAGACACACCAGCAAATATATGGACTCAGATAAGCAATTAAAATACATTCAGGTATTTAGGATCTCTCAGAAATCAGATCTGTGTTCTGTGTAACACATAAAATCTAGTTGGGGTAGGGTATGATGGGGTGAATTTGGAGTTATAAATCTTGCAATATTATATAACGGGAAATAGTGTGTTGTTAAATATAAAACACTTCCACTAATGCACCCAAAGGAAAGGAAAATCCTTCAAAGGAAGTTTGCCAGAGGCCTGGAACAGCTGGCCAGCAAGGCCAAGGGCAGAATCCGGCACAGAGCTTAGAGATGTTACCTGCCCTTCTCTTTTCTTTGTAATGAAGGAAAATTTTATATACATGTGCTTCACACATTTTCATTTAAGGTGCCTGCTCTCCTACAGCCTGATTTCTCTTGGGTTCAGATCAATCATACTTGAAGACCTGGGAGCTTTATTCACTGTTGTAATACTCTCCATTGCTCTCCCTTGAGACAAGGGCCTGTATCAGCTCAATAGGACCAGGGACCAGGAAACGTGTGGTAGGACAAGAATAGGGCCCTGCCAATTTACAAAGAAACATTTCTAGCACAGTCATACCCCCACCTGACAACACACAGCCTTCTGACCAGGCTTCCGCCATTACTTACTCATTTCCTCTTACCTGCTTGATACTCTAAAATGAGGTGGAACTCATCCACTTCCTGCAATGACTCTGGTGGGACAAATACATTGTCATCAAGAAGCTCATGCAGCTTTGGACCAACTGGGCCACAAAGAAGAACCTGGAGAAGCAATATGGAGTCTATCAGGAGGTCTGCCCCTTTCCCGTGAAATCTGTTCAGTAAGGCACATCCAGCGCTTTCATTTGTTTCAGCAGAGAACACTGGACTCCAAATCCAATTCTGAAAGCTTTTGGTTTGGAGGTATGGACTGGAAGAGCTACTACCAGGGTGCAGGCCTGGAGGGTATGGACACAATGTAGCCAGGAATGAGAGGCTGACAAAAGACCCTTGTCAAGCATCCGCCTGTTACCCAGGCACTCATGCTGCTGCTGAGTCCCACTCCCTTAGGGGCTGAAGGTCTGTTCCCCACCCCACCCCGGCCCCCTGGTTGCCCCACCCCGGCCCCCTGGTTGCCATGTCCAAGTCTAACGGTCAAAGTGATGATGCTGGGAAGGGTTTTCAGGAGGTAAATGAGGTCATATGGGTGGGTTTCTAATTCAATCGGACTGGTGGCCTTAGCAGAAAAGGGGGAGAGAGAGAGATTGCTCTTTCCCCACTACATCCATTAAAGAAAAGCCCTGTGAGGACACACAGGCAGGCAGCTGTCTGCAAGCTGGAAAGAGAACTCTCATCAGAAACCAGACCCTGCTGCAACTGTGATCCTGGGGCTTTCCAGCCTCCAGAACTGTGAGAAAATAAATTTCTGTTGTTTAAGCCACCTAGTCTACAGCATTTTGTCATCAGGGCAGCCTGAGAAGACTAAGATGCACTGTACCTCACTTTCTTTTCTTTACTGACTCATATCCTGTGTAAGCAAAGAGATACAGGGTGCTGTCTGCTCAAAGCTGCCAGACAAAAGAAACCAGTTGACTTTTACACAGTATAGAAAAGAACCTCCGGGTCACAAGACTCTAATCAACCAGTAACCTAACTTGCGGGGTCGGGCTCCCTACTATACTTAGCTGCCTTGTGAACAGGACAGACTCCCCACCAGAAGAATTAAAAAGTGCTTCAGTTCATAAAGTTTGGGGGGAAGTATGCTGCAACTTTTAAAAAACATTTTCTTCAACTCCAACCTGGCCTCTTCCTGGCAGTTCCCTCTAGAAGCCATTTCACCCCTTCTGCTGTTTCTGCCATGCCAGCTCTGGCCCCACTCATGACCAGGCCACCTGACTCAAAACCACTGAAGCATGAAGGCTTGGACCAGGAATCAAAGGAAAATCCTCAGAGATGATCATCACCATTTCGGGTTTAATATGCCCTAACAGAAGCTTCCAAAAGTATTTTTTACTTGCTAATTAATCACTTGTTTGTACAGAGGCATTTTCAGGTATTTAAGAAATCCCAGCTTCTGGGCAAAAGTACATCTCCCTCTCCTTGACACATGTCTGCTATCTGCCAAATCTGAAAAGTCTCACCCCTGTAATTTTATTTATTTTCTCTAATTCTTGGCTAGAATTTTGGCTTCCAAGGTGAGACAACAAGGGCCAGATTTACCCTCCTGCCTGAAACATAACAACAAAACAGATAAAATACATGAAACAACGGTTTTCAGAACATTTGGGCACTGGGCAGCAAAGGAAAGTGATGCCTATGAAACAGAAAAAACATGAGTAAGCCCTACAAATCCCTCTGCAAGTGAGCCCAAGAGTTTTCACATGGTCAATACCGAATTCAGACTGATTTTATTCTTTACAGTTGAAGATGGAGAAGCTCTATACAGTCAGTAAAAACAAGACCTGGAGCTGACTGTGACTCAGATCATCAGCTCCTTATTGCAAAATTCAGACTTAAATTGAAGAAAGTAGGCAAAACCACTAGACCACTCAGGTATGACCTAAATCAAATCCTGTATGATTATACAGTGGAGGTGACAAATAGATTCAAGGGATTAGATCTGGTAGAGTGTCTGAAGAACTACAGAAAGAGGTTTATAACACTGTATAGGAGGTGAAACCAAAACCATCCCACAGAAAAAGAAATGCAAGAAGGCAAAATGGTTGTACGAGGAAGCCTTACAAATAGCTGAGGAAAGAAGAAAAGTGAAAGGAGAAGGAGAAAGGGAAAGATATATCCATCTGAATTCCAGAGATGAACAAGGAGAGTTAAGAAAGCCTTCTTAAGTGAACAACGCAAAGAAATTGAGGAAAACAATAGAATGAGAAAGACTAGTGATCTCTTCAAGAAAACGAGATACCAAGGGAACATTTCATGCAAAGATGGGCACAATAAAGGACAGAAATGGGAAAGAGCTAAGAGAAGCAGAAGATATTAAGAAGAGGTGGTAAGAATACACAGAAGAACTACACAAAAAAGATCTTAACAGCCCGGATAACCACGACGGTGTGGTCATTCACTGAGAGCCAGACATCCTGGAGTGTGAAGTCAAGCGGGCCTTAGGAAGCATCACTACCAACAAAGCTAGTGGAGGAGACAGAATTTCAGATTAGCTATTTCAAATCCTAAGATGATGCTGTTCAAGTGCTGTACTCATGTGCCAGCAAATTTGGAAAACTCAGCAGTGGCCACAGGACCAGAAAAGGCCAGTTTTCATTCCAATCCCAAAGAAAGGCAATGCCAAAGAATGTTCAAACTACCATACAATTGTGCTCATTTCACATGCTAGCAAAGTAACGCTCAAAATCCTTCAAGCTAGGCTTCAACAGTGGGTGAACCGAGAAATTCCAAATGCACAAGCCAGATTTAGAAAAGGCACAGGAAACAGATCAAATTGTCAGCAACCGTTGGATCATAGAAAAAGCAAAAGAATTCCAGATAAACATCTGCCTCACTGGCTACTCTAAAGCCTTTGACTGTGTGGATTACAATAAACTCTGGAAAATTCTTAAAGAGATGGGAATACCTGACCACCTGACCTGCTTTCTAAGAAACCTGTATCCAGGTCAAGAAGCAACAGTTAGAACCAGACATGGAACAATGGACTGGCTCAAAATTGGGAAGGGAGGACGGGAAGGCTGTATATTGTCACCTTGCTTATTTAACACCTATGTAGAGTACATCATGAGAAATGCTGGGCTGGATGAATCACAAGCAGGAACCAAGATGCTGGGAGAAATATCAATAACCTCAGATATACAGACGATACCACCCCTGTGGCAGAAAGTGAAGAGGAACTAAAGAGCCTCTTGATGAAGGTGAAAGAGAAGAGTGAAAAAGTTGGCTTAAAACTCAACATTCAAAAAACTATGACCATGACATCTGGTCCTATCACTTCATTGGAAATAGATGGGGCAAAAGCAGAAACAGGGGCTCCAAAATCAATGCAGATGGTGATTGCAGCCATGAAATTAAAAGATGCTTGCTCCTTGGAAGAAAAGCTATGACCAACCTAGACAGTGTATTAAAAAGCAGAGATATCACTTTGCTGACAAAGGTCCATACCGTCAAAGCTATGGTTTTTCTAGTAGTCATGTACAGATGTGAGAGCTGGACCATAAAGAAAAAACAGAGTGCTGAAGAATTGATGCTTTTGAACTGTGGTGCTGGAGAATACTCTTGAGAGTCCCTTGGACACCAAGGAAATCAAACCAATTAATTTTAAAGGAAATCAATCCTGAATATTCATTGGAAGTACTGACGCTGAAGCTCCAATACTTTGGCTACCTGATGCTGGGAAAGATTGAGGGCAGGAGAAGGGGACAACAGAGGATGAGATGGTTGGATGGCATCACCAACACAATGGACATGTGTCTGAGCAAACTCCAGGAAATAGTGAACAACAGGGAAGCCTGGGTGCTGCAGTCCATGGAGTCATAAAGAATCAGATGGGACTTACTGACTGAACAACAACAAGACATACAGAATCTGAAAGAATTAATCACCTGCAGACCTACACTACAAGAACTATTAAAGGAAATCCTTCAGGCAGAAGGAAAATACCAGAAGGAAATACTAAACAAACAATGCCAGGAATGGTACTCTGTATAAGTACATAAGATCTTTTTCTGATTATTTAACTGTCTTCAAAAGACAATTAACTATCTGAAGAAAAGTATTAACAGCATAGTGTGAGATGTACAGTCTGTCTAGATGTAACAAACATGCCAACAACAGTATAAAGACTGGAGGGGAGAAATGAAGGCACACGACTGTAAAGCTCTTACATCCTATCTGGTGGTTTAATAATATTATTTGAAAGCAGACTGTGATAACCTAATAATGTACATCATTAGCCCTAAATCAACCACTAAAAAAACAAGAAGCAAGCTGTGAGATTTAAATTTAGCCTGATATAACAACAATGACACTAAATGAAAATGGTCTAAATACCCCAATTAAAAGACAGGGAGAACTTCCCCGATGGTCCAGTGGTGAAGAATCTGCCTGCCAATGCAGAGGACATGGGTTTGATCCCTGGTGGGAAGATTCCACACGCTGAGGGACAGCTAAGCCTACGCACCACATGCCCTGGAGCCCTTGCTCTGCAACAAAAGCCTGTGCACCCCAACTAGAGAGCAGCCCCTCCTCGCAGCAACGAGAGAGAGCCCGAGCACAGCAACAAAGACCTAGCACGGCCAGGAAAAAAAGATAAGGAATGTCAAAGTGCACTGAAAGTCAAGCCTCCACTGTACGCGGCCTCACAAGAAACATTCTAAATACACAGACACACACAGGTTAAAAGCAGACGAATGGGAAAAGATACATCATGATGACACTAATCGAAACTGGAAAGGCTATTTTAATCAAAATTGATTACAGAGCAAAGAATATTATGAAATTATTTTATCCCTGGTAATGATTAAAAAAAGTCATTTCTAAACAGTTATGCATCTAAAAAAAGGCTTAAAAACACATGAAGCAAAAGTTACAGAACTTCAAGGGAAACAGACAAGTCCATAATTATTGTGGAAGATGTCAGTATCTCTCTCAATAGTAGATAAATCAAGTAGACTGAAAATCAGAAGACTATAGAAGACTTGAAAAACATTATCAATCAACTTGGCCTAACAGACATTGATACAACACTCCACCCAAGTGCTCACCAAGATATACTATATGCAGGGTCATGAAAGTCTCCATAAATTTAACAGGAATCAGAAAAGCATATTCTCTGATCACAATGGAATTAAAATAGAAATCAATAATATAAAAAGACGTGGAAACCCTCTCAATATTTAGAAACTAAATAACACTTCTAAGTATTCCACAAGATAGGCTATTAAATACCTCATCTCAAGAAATCAAAAGGAAATCAGAAAGCATCTGGGTTGAATGAAAATAAAAAGAGAGAATCAAAATCAGGAGGACAGAGCTAAAGCAGTACCTAAGGGGACGTTACAGCACTGAACAACCTGCATCAGAAAACAGGAAGTTCTCAGATCAGGGACCTCTGCCACGACTTCAAGAAGCTAGAAAATGAAAGTTAAACTAAAACCAAATAGAAACCAATGAAATAGAAAAGAAAAAAATACAGAAAAAAAAAATCAATGAAACTAAAAGCTCTTCGTTTTTTTTTGGAAAGCTATTTATTGGAAAGATCAATAAAATTGATAAACCAATAGCCAAACTTATCAAAGAAAAGAAAAAATATATAAATTACCAGTATCAGGAAAGAGAGACCATCACTACAGATTCCACAGACTTAAAGGAGTAAAGGAACATTATAATTAACTTCAAGCCAATAAATTCAACAGTTTAGATGAAATGGACATATTTCCTGAGAGACAAAACTACCAGAGCACACTCAAGAAGTAGATAATCTGAATTTCTTTTTATCAAATCATTAAACACCTTCCCACATCAAAAACTTCAGGCCTCTACATGAGAAAAAAATTTTAAAAAATAGTGAATATATGTGTAACTGATATATTTTGTTGTATACCCGAAACTAACACCACATTGCAAATAAACTACACTCCAATACAATTTTTAACCCCTACTCCCCAAAACAACAACAAAGTAAAATGGAAAAATAAAACACTAAAAACCAACCAAACAGCAGAAAAACCTTACGCCTGGAGGGCTTCAGTGATGAATTCTACACAAACACTTTTTAAAGAAAATCTAAATACTCCCCAATTCCCTAATATTAAAATCAGACAGACATATGAGAAAAGAAAAATACAGATCAATATCCCCCAGGGAAATTGATGTAAAAATTTTAAACAAAATGTAAGTAAACTGAATCCAATAATACATAAAAAGGGCAATACATCAGAAGCAAGTGAAGTTTATTCTGGGATACATGGTTCGTTTGACATTTGAAAAATCAGTGTAATTACCATTTACCAAAGTAAAAAGCAAAAACCACACAATCATCTCAACAGATGCAGAAGCAGCATCTGACAAGATCCAACATCTCCTTCTTGGCTAAATTCCAAAATATATTTCATAAAGACACTGCTCTCTTCTGCTCTCTGGCTTCTATTTCACTGTTCCATAACATCTGCCTTTATTATATTCACCAGGGTCTATTTCTGAAGCACAATTGCTTGGAAACAGCATGGACTCTGGAGCTAGACTACTTGGGTTCACATTCCAGCTTCACTCCTTACTAGGTATGTGACTTTGAACAGCTTTAACTTCTCCATGCCTCATTTTTCCTATCTAGAAAATGGGGATAATAATAGACTTCCCTCACAGGGTTTTTTGAGGATCAAATAGGTTAATATAAAGTAAGTATAATATAAATATAAATATATTTACATATATATAATAAATATAAATATAATATAAAGTAGGTTAATATAAAGGCACTTAAGACAGTGCCTGGGAAACAGTAAGAACTATGAAAATGTTAATGATTATTATTACCTATGGAAAATGCTGCTGCTGCTGCTAAATTGCTTCAGTCATGTCTGACTCTGTGCAACCCCACAGACGGCAGCCCACCAGGCTCCTCTGTCCCTGGGATTCTCCAGGCAAGAATACTAGAGTGGGTTGCCATTTCCTTCTCCAATGCATGCATGCATGCTAAGTCACTTCAGTCGTGTCTGACTCTTGTGACCCCATGGACAGAAGCCCACCAGGCTCCTCTGTCCATGGAATTCTCTAAGCAAGAGTACTGGAGTGGGTTGCCATTTCCTTCTCCTTAATCTGTGGTTGTTTTTAAATGATCACTTTGTCATGTTGAGAGGCATTTCAGCAAGTTAAACTGAATCTGAGAAGTATAGGGTGGTGAGGTCAAGGCAGAGCCTGGTGTTTGAATCCTGGCTTTATTATTTTATCACCCACCATCAGCTGGGTGACCCTGGGCACTCTGGACCTCCTTTCTTTAAAAGGATGGTAATACCTAAATTCATCAGATTATTGTGAAGACTGTAACAATCTGATGAAGAAGTAACAGATACCCTTTTCTTTTCCTCAATCTTTTACTAAGGTCAGACTTTTTTTTTTATTCCCTTCCCCTTTTTCTTACCAGAATACTTTCCAATTGGACTGGTCTCAGGGCCAGCTTCTCCAGTGACCAACAGCAAATACTGGTCTCAGAGGAGGAAATACTGAAAGGAACATCTAACCTAGAACTTCCAGGGACAGAATTAAATTACTTCTCAGGGTCAAGAGGGTGTTCTTTTAGGGACCCCATCAAATGCCCAGGATTCTGATGCAAAGGGCCTGGGTTCTCTCCAATGAGCTTATGATTGATCTTCTCTTCCATCCATTAGCTGGCAATACTTCTAAAGATCAGCTCTGGAACTTCTAATATTCTTCTTTTGGGAGTTTATTACTATCTACAAAGATAATGACTCTTAAAAAAATTTCCCACTGTCATTTTTTATGAAAACTTTAATCCTTATAAAAATGTGAATGTCCATACTTTAAGATGCTCTCTATATCTAAGCACATCCATCCCTTGGTGTATGCTCTGGGTCCATATGAATTTTGTCCCCTCAAACTGTTGATCATTTATCTGTGTTTCTGGGTCCGTGCACTTTTGATTCCGCACCCCTAAGAACTGTTGGTTCCCTCTCTCCATCGTCAGTAGTCACATCTATTCTGCACTTCTCAAGTTCACTTACTTCAGAACCATCTCTGTTAAACTTACCTTCTTTGTCCCTACATATGGTCTATCACCAAGTGATCCCACTAGGCTTTAGATAGACATGTTTCTCCTCTTCTGGTTACTCGAGCCAAAGCCTGCAAGGAGGTTAGTGCTGTAGTCTTGCTGTAAAATGACTGCTTTTACAAGACAACAGCAATAACCTCCTTGTTGGCTTCCCCTCTCAGACCTATTCCACTTGCAGCAAAAGAACTTCTTACTTAGAAAATAGCAGTAATTTTAATTCTATTTAAACCAAACGATTTAAGACTTAAAGACATGACCCTAACAACCCCCATCCAGTGGCCTTTAACACTCTGGATCCAGCCTCAAGAATCAGTCAACTAAGTCTTTTCTCATCACTGCGCAATCCTTCCAGCCTCAGGCACTGACTCCAGATCCCACACGCTCTTAATGATTACATGGTAAGGTATTCGAGGACATGGACTCTGGGGTCCTAGGTTACAACTGTTTTATTTGTTCAATACACTTGTTCTAGCTATAAACCTCTCTATGTCTCAAGCTTCACGTAGAAAGCATGACAACAACAGTACCTATGACCTTATAGGTTATTGCAGGGATTAAATGAGGTAATCTGCATCACACACTGGAGACAACATCAGACATGTAGTAAACACTTAGAAATCATTAGCTACCACTCCTCTCCTTCGATGACTATATTCCTAACAAGAGTCCCAGGCAAGCTGAATCAAGGAACAGACAGGTACTCAGTATTGCCCCTAAAATTACTGAAATACTAGTGAAGGACATAGGTTTTAATCTGGGAATCTGACTTACCTTTAAATCTGAGTTGGCTGCAAACTTCTGTCCAATTAAAGCTGCATTTCCTCCTACATAGTGCTGTAAGACAGTTTAGTGCTATTAGGCAGTTTTTTAGCATAACTATGCTACTCAAGCTTAATAATGTTTTGATTTAATTATAGTCCATTTTCTCCCCCCAAAAAATTTGAGGTGACAACAAGTACACACAGATGGGGTTAATAAAAACATTAACCCTACAGATGAGGAGACAATGAGTTATAAGGAAAGGTGAAAAAAAAAAAAATTGCTACCTTTGGAAAACAGTATAATTGCCTTAACTGTAGATCAACCTTAGCCTTGAGCTTCCAGGCAGCCAGAACAGATAAATGAAACAAAAGGAAATAGGACAAGTATGGACAGACTTTTATCTTCTGCACTGTGACCCTTCTAAAATGAGGGTAGGACTATGTCAGTTTCCTCCTGAAAATCATTCAATATTACAATGACCTAAAATCCAACTCTCAATTTTTTTTCCTGATGTATATTTGATATATAAATTACAACAGTACAATGTAGAGATTCACTTTTTCAAAGTTATATCCCATTTATAGTTATTATAAAATATTTTCTATATTCCCCATATTGTATAATATATCCCTGTAGCTTATTTTATACCTAACAGTTTGTATCTCTTAATCCCCTAACCCCTATATCGCCCCTTCCCCCTTTCCCTCTCCTCATTGATAATCACTAGTTTGTTCTCTTTATCTGTGAGTCTGTTTCTTTTTTGTTATATTCACTAGTTTGTTGTATTTTTTAGATTCCACATATCTAAGCAATATCATATAGTATTTGTCTTTCTCGGACCTTATTTCACTAAGCAAAATACCCTCCAAGTCCATTCATGTTGCTACAATGGCAAAATTTCATTCTTTTTTTATGGCTGAATAATATTCTATCACATGCATGCACGCGCACACACACTACATCTTTATCTGTTGATGGACACTAAGGTTGCTTCCTTATCTTGGCAACTGTAAATAATGCTGCTGTGAACACTGGGATGCATGTATCTTCTTGAATCAGTTTTAAAATCCAACTCTTAAGTGAGGTACATAGGTCTGTCTTTATCTGTCCCCTGCCTTCCTTTCTGCTTCCACCTGCCTATAGCTCTCCAAGTCTGCTTTCCTCTGTGTCTATGCCTTTAAGCACATGCTGCTTCTCTGACTAGGATTGCCTCCCCTTTCTCATTCACTGGTCAGGTGATTATATATCAGCTGTAACGTCACTTCTTCTGTACTGCTTTCTCTTGCTGTCTTCCTATGGTCACCTCCATCTCCACAATCCTCCTTCTAGAGAGGATTACAGATTCTTTGCTACTTGCCACCTCTAGACTCAGAACAGACCTCCACTACAGCCCTTGTCCTCTTGAGCTAGTGTCATCTGGGGACATGTCTAGCTCCTTCAAGGAAAGGACTGTCTTCTTACAGTAAGTGCTCAGTAACTGCTGCTAGATTTTGAGAAAGGAAGAAACACACATTGATGCATCAGGAATTATAAAAGCTTTCCTGGGAGTAAAATTCTAAAGGTAACGGGTTCTGAAAGAAGACACACCACATCTCTCAGCTGAGGACCTAAAGGAGAAGAGCAGAGAATTCAAGTCTAGTATTCCTTTGTGGTAAGGATGGATTCACATGCTCTGGAAACCTGACAAATAGGAAATAAGGCTGATGCTCTATTATGTAAGCTGAGAAACTTTACCAGCAGCTCTGTTTGGGAGGACTGAATGCTATCACCTTACCTCTCTAGTCCCTAGCCCCATGCAGAGGCATAGACTAAACAACTCAATTCTAGATGCTCAACAACACTTTTAGCCCAACCAAGTTTTGTGTTGACGGATCACTGGATTCAGATGGGATGGTAATGGCTTTCTATAGATAAATTGGAAACTTTGTGATATACAGGCTGAAATTTGCCCTTTTAACATGTTAACCTTAGTTTTTTATGTAACTCTGATGGCTAGAAGAATTTACTAAAAATCCCAGGGGAAACATTAAGAGTCCATGTAATGGATTTTAGAGTTTTCATATGCTAGTTATTATTAACTACTGTTTATCAGTCCATCTGCCTTATAGTTTAAAGGAGTTTGACAAGGTACCAAATGAAGTGCCACACTAGTGGAAGATAAATAACACATTTTAGGTTTTATAATGTTAAGAAATAATTTAGATGATGTAAAAGATAAAATTTCTGTAGAAAAAATGTTTGCATTATGAAACAAAAGGCCAAAGAGACTAGAACAGAAAGCAAAATTGGTGTTTTTTTTTTTTTAATTGGTGTTTTAAATACTACAATCTTAAAGACTTTTAAGCAGTAGATTTGCCATTTTGTTAGAACTATCAAGACTATTTCATAAACGATCAGAATCTTGGGAGTTCCCTGGTGGTCCAGTGATTAGGACTGCATTGGGGGACTGAGATCCCACAAGCCATGCTGCGTGTACAGAAAGGAAAAAAAAAAAAAGATCAGAATCTCACTACCAAACCCAGCTATCAAAATGACTAACTGAGGTTTTAACAGCTTGCTGTCTCCTTGAGAAATTCAGCTGGGAAAGGCCTGTGCCCACTGCTAATGTCCAAATGGGTGGCTTCCAAAGGAATAAAAAAAACTTTAAGTGCTCCCCAAGTGAGAAGTACACCCAAACTGGGGTGATGGGTAAGAGAAGATTTTAGGTAAAAATTGGGGATGAGATGCAGTGGGCATTAGAGAGAAGTTTAAACAACAAAATCCTGCCCTTGAGAGGTGTGAGGGCAGGGGAACTGGCAGGTGTGTGAGCCTTGAGGAAGTGTCTGGACCATGTAGGCTCCAGAGCCTTGTTTGTGATCACCAGGTGGGCGTGAAGAATCCTAAGTTCTATCTTTGACAGTCTTTACCCTGTAGACCAATGGTTCTCAGAACAAGGTGGTCAGAATAGCATCCACATAACCAGGAAACTTGCTGTAAGGGTAAATTCTTGGGACTACCCCATAAGTACTGAATCAGAACTCTGGAAGGGTGGCCCAGGAATCTGTGTTTCAACACCTTTCACATGACTCTGATGCACATTCAGGTCAGAGAGCCACCAAACTAGACCAGTGGTTCTCAATCAGCATGATTTTGCATCCCTTCTCTCCCCGACCCTGGAAACATCTGACCATGTTGGGAGACATTTTTGACTGTTGCAATATGGGAAAAGGGGGAGTGATACTGTCACTATTTCTCTGCGGGTTTGGCCTTTTTTGGTTTAGGAAGAACTGAGCCAAATTAATATTACTGCAAGGTATCAGCCAAGCAGTACCCAAACAACTCTGGAGTAGACATTTTCCTACTTTAAACCTGAGTAACATGAAAAAAGAGCAATTTCATGGATAACCCAGGACTAAAATTTTAGTAAGTATGTCTCATTAATGTTGGCTGAATTGAAATGACTAGCAACAGCAGAGTTAAGGGAAGGTCAGATACACACTTTTCCAAAAAGAGAAAACACTACAGAATTGTATTGCCAACAATTACCCACTATGGGTGAACTGGAGAAGAGTTGCTCAGTTGCTTCTAGAAACCATACAAAGTGTCTTTTCCCACCCTATCTTAATTTACCACTGGTAGACAGACCTGGGCTTCTGGGAACTCTGATGCAATCTGGGCGATGTCATGGAAAGTTTCCTTATCACTGAAGAAGCGTTCAGCAGCTGCTCCCTTCCCCATGAAGTGAACGAAGGCTTCTTCTAGATCATTCCTCGAATGCAGCTCGCTGTGATCTTTCCCATTCCCAGGGCTCAAGCCAAGTGCCCGCAAGAGCTTCACCCCTGACAGCACTACGTCTACACATGCATTGACGCTGCAAGGAAGGAAGGAAGAGATGGTGTGAGAGAAACCAAAACACTGGGACTACAGCTTTACATTTAACAACAGGGAAATGTTTCAGAAACCTGACCTGGAAAGCAAATAGCATATGGTGGAAGGAGGATTACTTTATCTGGATATGTATGTCTTATCCTGGCAAGAGCTTGGTAAACTTTTACACTCATCACAAAGCAAGACAGGTGCTCAGCATTTCAGGACAAAGTATCATAACACAAATACACCATTTCTGAGAAAATAATGGCAGAGCCAAACTGTTTGGATTAACCCTGGCTGTGTGACCTGGCCAAGTCACTTTCTTTGTCTTCAGTTTCCTCCTCTCTAAAATCGTGTAATACGAGTATTTAACTCATAGGGCCATTGTGAAGATTAAATAAGATAATACATGTTTAGGAACACTGCTTGTTACAGAGAAAGCAAAGTAAAAGTTTTTGTCAAAAGCCACCTTCCCTTAAAAGACACCTGAGGATGGTGGTAAAATACACTACTTCCAGGTGAAACTCTGAGCGCTGAGTGATGTCTTAAAGACCTAAGTGCACCTGCAGCCTTGTAACAACTCAGCACTTGGCAGGTGTTCATCATCATGGACTTTACAGACTAGTCAGTCAGTGTGGTGTCACCTGGTTAATGCTTACAGATTTATAAAATACACATGAGGCTGTCTGGCCCCACCTCTCCCATGCATGCATGCATGTAGAAGCTGTGGCTTACATTTTCAGTGGTTTGTGTGTGTGTGTTTTCCAAAAGCCATTCCTTTCTAAAAAAGAAGTTCCAAATACTTTGGGCAGGGGGATGAGGTCCCTGGGCACCTTTATTCCTGCCTCTGCCATCCCTGCCAGTAGGGTTGAATGACCAAATGAAACATCTTTGGGTGAAAAGGGTGGCTGCCCATCCAGGCTAGTTCCAAGTAGTTAGGAAACCAGAAGTTGTGTGCTTCCCTGGTAGCTCAGATGGTAAAGAGTCTGGGTCGGGAAGATACCCTGGAGAAGGAAATGGCACCCCACTCCAGTATTCTTGCCTAGAAAATCCCATGGAGGGAGGAACCTGACAGGCTACAGTCCATGGAGTCACAAAGAATCAGACACAACTGAGTGACTTCACTTTCACTTTTCATGAAACCAGAAGGTAAATTCATCAATCAACAAGGCCCAATGGATTGGATTCTGGTATATAATATAGAACTACAATGTTTCCCTTCTACTCTCCTTTAAAAATCTCTTGATCACCAAATCATTAATGGTAGCCAGCTCTAAAGATGAGGAAAGAGACTGCAGTAAGGGAGAGGAATTTTATTTTTCATCAGATGTATTTTTAATATTTATAAGCATACATCACTTTTAGAACTGAACAAATAATTCTTAAAAGGTCCTCATGTGGGCTAGATAGTATTTACATCACTCAAGGGAGGTTTACAAGCGTCAGAAGAGAGACAGCCCTCCTCACAACACAAAACTGACTACATTCTCGTTAAGATTCTATTATTAACTCTTCCCCTATGAATCCCAAATTTTTGAAAAGGTTTTTGCCTACCATACAGCATTTAAATACTCGAATGGTCTTATTCTTTTAAAGTCAAACATACATAATTACTCTGATCAACTGGGAAAGTATAACCTAAGAGTAAGTATACCTTTCATACAAAGCACATAAAACACACTGACATGCATGTGGCAGGTTCTTACTCACATAAGATATTCCTTTCACAGCCTACATGATACGAACCAACACACTGTGTAAACTGGTCTCAGTGCCACCTCACACAGAGTGTCCTTTATTTCTACTGGACGTCACATTAGATGTCTGAAGGGTAGAAGCTTAAAAGGAATACAGGTATCCCTGGCTCTCAGACTCCGGAAGGCTCCCAAAGTTCAGACAGTGAAAGTTTGGATAGTGTGGGACATTATTTCCATGAAGTAACTAAATGGATTTGGGTCCTGAGTCTGCATAGCAAAGGTTCAGATACCAAGGGATGTACCCATATTTGGAAATAACGACTTCAAAATAGACGTCAATAAACACATCACTTCCATATCTAGTTATGCTGAGAACTTAAGGAGAGTTTGATTTCTTAAAGATGAGAATGGAGGAAGTTCCAGTTACAAAAAACAAAACCAAAAAGAACAGTTTATTTAGCACATTTTGCAGCACAAGACAAAACCCAACTGAACTAACTTTGAGTTAAAACAATGTAACTACCATAGAAACATTTTCCATCCCCCACCTAATCATACCATGAACACTAAAGGGGAAAATCTTAAGAAAAAAACTACATGATAGCTATTAAAAGAAAATCATTGTGCCCTACTATGTGCCAGATACCGAAGTACTTTTACCTCTGCTTTCTAATTATATTTTATAATACTTCAAACAGAACAGGAATCTTTCCCTGCACTTACATCAATTCAGCAGCATACTAAAATGTAAATAAGCATGCTACTTATAGGCAAAAGAAGTGTGTGTATGGTGTGGGGGGGCGGGGGGTGGTCAAGGTGGAGCAAAAAACCAGAAGACAAAATTATATTCATTTGACACTTAAGTAGAATTTCACAGAAATGTATCAAAGATTACAATGTGAGTTTTGAGAAAACACAGACACAGATAAAACAATTGAAGGTAAAATGAGGGAACAGATGCTGAATGCCTATACAAGTGGCAGTGCTAGCAGAGGGCGCTGGGAGCCAAGGCTGCCAGGCATATTATTAGAGATCTGGGGTTGGGGCGGGAAAGAGGAATAGTTTCTTCTAGTCTGTAAATTCCTTAAAGACAAGAAGGGGGTTCTTATCACCTCCCTTCTGTTTTATCATCTGTAAAATGTTTCTTAGGGTTCTTTTCAGTTTTCACACTATGCCTGAGATAGTATGAAAGCTAATCATAATCACTCTAAGATACAGAACCACAGAGAGGAGAAACCCAAGAGGGCAGGATCAGTAGTCCTTGGGCCACACTCTAGATGATGCTCTGGACAGAGAAAAAGGCAGGCATTTTCAGACAGACCACACCAATCTGCAAAACATTTTAAGACAGGGAAGTAGTCATCACTGCTTTCAGCTGAGAAAAGTAAGGCTGGGGGTTAACTAACATTCCAAGGTCAAGACTGGAGGAGCCTACATTCAAACCCAGATTTATCTGATATTGAAAGCCACAAGGAGCACGCACAAGCAAAGATGCAGAAGGGATTAACCTTGTGTCTGGATACAACAGGAATGGTGATCCAGTTAGGAGAGTCTGAACATGGTCTGAGAAGAGCAAGGCAGGTTTCAAAGGTCAGAGTGAAGCCAGGTGAGGGAGAATGAGTGCTAAAATGAGGGGTTTATCATGCACCCAACAAGTCTTAGGACCAGAGCCCGATTCTGAGCAGAGGCAGCATACATTTTAGAAAAATGTGGCTGTGGGCTTGCCATTGACCATCTTCTTAAAACCATTCCTTTATTTCTCTGGTCCTTTCCCACCAGGCCCTTACATGGCAGTGCCTGCCCCTCATCCCACCCTTGCCATTTACCTTCCCTTCTTGTTCTCTTCCTGGGTGATGCTATCTAGCCTCTGGCCTCAATCTAGGTGCTGGAGTCCCTAAACTGCGACCATGCTCCTCAGCTACAGCCTCTAGCTGTCAGTAGCTGAGGGCTCAGCTTCCTCTATAATCCTATAGGAATGTACATTTCTCCCCTCTGAAACCAAACTGGTTACCCTTCACCACAAACTTGTTCCTTTCTTAATCTCTCTTCATGGCAACAAGGTGGCACATAGAGCCACAAATGGGTTTAAGGTGGCATTGACAACTGTGAGATCATGGGCAAATCAGTATTTCCAAGCCCCAGTTCACTCTCTGTGAAAACTGGATGACAATATTTATTGTTGCTTTAGTTGCTAAGTTGTGTCTGACTCTTGTGCGATCCCATGGACTGTAGCCCACCAGGTTCCTCTGTCCATGCGATTTCCCAGGCAAGTATACTGGAGTGGGTTGCCATTTCCTTCTCCAGGGACTGAACCCACATCTCCTGCATTGCAGGCAGGTTCTTTACCACTGAGCCACCAGGAAAGCTTGACAATATCTGTATCTGCCTACATGAAGTTATAAGATCCCCAATACTAAGAACCTGTCATTTGCAACTGCCTCTATTTACTCTACCACATCTAACCTCTTGTCAAGTCTCACCTGTTTAGCACTAATGGCAAACAAGAAAAAGCTCTATGGCTTCAGCTAGTGTCAGGGTCTCAAGACTTTCCTCTTTATTAGTCTGTTACCCACAAAAATAATGTGAAGTAGTCAAACAGGTCAGAACCACTGCTCAAATTTTCCATTCCTCCAGTTAAGTCTGTGAAAAGAACTTAGCATCATTTGTGTGTGTGCACACCCATTCATGCTCAGTTGTGTCCAGCTCTTTGCGACTCCATGGACTGTACCTGCTCATAAACTTTTATGGGTTTCCCATCACCCACACTGACACACAAGGCTCCTTTCAGTATCATCTCGACATCTATCATAAAGTCCTTGGCCTAAACACAGGACCAACCCGCTGTTGCCAAACAAGCCAAATATCTTTTTCACATTTGGTTCTCTCTTCCCAGGGGGACTTATTTCCCAGCCTTCTTGTGGATAAATTCTTTTGTTCTCCAGGGCCTGACCCATGCAAGTCACTATAGCAGAATATATTTTACAAGATGGCCACAACGTGCCCCCTCCCACATGTTCATTTTACAATGAGAGGCTGACGCTCCTCCCTCCCAGGTACGTTCTAGGTCCCCTCTCCTCAAAACCACTTGGACCTGGGCCTATGAGAAGTGACACTGTGTGCTTTTAAGGTTAGGTCATAAAAGGCATTAATACTACTACCTGGTCCCTGTGGTGAATCCCTCCCCTAGTCCAGTCATCCTGAGGTGAGGAAGCTAAATAGTTACAAAGAGAAACCACCTGCATGTGTTCAGGTAAAACCATGACTGAGGTCACAGCTGACAACAGTCAACACCTTGAGATGATCCCAGGTCCAGCCATCACCTTCCTGAAACTGCATGAAACCCCAAATGAGAATCGCCTAGCCGAGCCCAACTGAACCTCAGAATCATGGAATAAAACGGCCACTGGTTTAAGCTAAGTTGTGGGGTAATGTGTGATGTAGCAATAGTAAATGGATTGTCAGCTTCTAGATGGAGCTTCTCTTGAAACCTCATCCTGGGAAGAATTACTAGTTATTCTCTGGGACACAAGAAAGCACTTTTCACAATTGTTATGGACAGCATTGTGTCCCTCTCCCCCACCCCACCCCCCTATTCATATTGAAGCCCTAACCACAAATGTGACTGTATGTGGAGATAGGGACTACTTAAGGAAGTAATTGAGGTTAAATGAGGCCATTATCCAGGATTCCCAGGTGGTGCACTGGTTAAAAAAAAAAAATTGCCTGCCAGTGCTGGAGACAAAGGAGATAAGGGTTCGATCCCTGGGCTAGGAAGATGCCTTGGAGCAGGAAATGGCAATTCAGTCTTCTTGCCTGGACAGAGGAGACCGGTGAGCAACAGCCCCTGGGGTGACAGAGTCAGACGTGACTGAGTGTGCACAGCCAAGACCCAATAGGACTACTGTCAGTTTAAGAGGAGGAGACACCAGAAGTGCTCAAGAACGGAAAGGCCATCTGAGTACACAGCGCGAAGGCAGCCACTGGCAAGTCTGAGAGGACTTCCTCTTGGATTATCAGCCTGGAGAACTGTGAGAAAATGAATGTCTGCTGTTTAAAAAGCCCCCAGTCTGTGGTCCTCTGTTACGGCAGCCTAAGTGGACTAATACAATAATGAACATATTTGTTTCCAAAAAATGAGGCTGGGACCTTGCTTCATCCATCCCTGGATCCTCAGAACTTAGCATGGACCTACCGCATACCATGCAGTTAATGAATATTTATTCAAAGTGTGTGCTTAGTAATGTCTGACTCTTGGCAATCCCATAGACTGTAGCCCACCAGGTTCTTCTGTCCCTGGGATTTGCCAAGCTAGAATGGCTCCAGGGGATCTACACAACCCAGGGATCGAACCCATGTCTCTTGCATCTCCTGCATTGGTAGACAGATTCTTTACCACTGCATCACCTGGAAAGCCCATGAATTGACTGAAGACTCACAAAACCAGGGAGGACAATTCAGCTGATAAGGATACAGGTGAAAGTGCCTGAATTTGAAAGAAGAGTTAAAAGAAAATGCACCTGAAGAAACAATAAAAGTGTTAACATATATGTGTATATATATATATATATATATAACTACTACCTAACATTAGCTGTCTGCTCTTTAAAGCAGACACTATGCTAAATAACAAAGATTATTTAATCTTCATGATAACTCTGCTTTACCTTACCCTTTGTGGCTCCGATACTCACAGGAACTAGTAGCGTACTTGGTAGAAGATCTGCTTTTGTGGCAAGATATTCCAGTCGAACTTAGACAAGAACTAAAATTCGTAGAGGGAATAACTTACTTACACGCGACAGGAGAATATAAAAATAGGAGGCACTGTGATTTGTGAGAATCCTAAAATTGCAATGTCATTGAAATCTGGGGAAGAGTTTCAAGGAGAAGGCATGCTTAACGTGTGGAAGGCTGCAGAGAGCTGACAGTGAAGACTGAAAGTGGAAGCTGATTATGAAAACCCACAAAGCTTAGATAAACTTTCAGAGAGACGTTTCAGTAGAATGGTGGTCTCCAGACTATGGCATTAAGGAAGCGAAAACAAGGCGTAAAGAAAGAAACGCAGGAGCTAAAGACAGCGACCACACCTTCAAGTAGTTCAGAAGCAAGAGGGTGCCACTAAAATGGAAAGACCAAACATTTCTGATTGCAAAAGAGTAGCCTCCAGAAGAGCAGAGATTGGAATGAAGGCGACTTGAACTTTACGGAGTCAGGCTGAGCGGGATTTCCAAGAGGCTATTAGGCTGGTTCTGGGGGCTGGTCCTACCGGGACGAGGAGGGTGTAGGGGCCAGCCGAGAGGAAAAAGCAGTCTGGTGAGTCTTCGTCCCAGACGTGCGTCGCTTCTCGCCAAGCAGGTGGCGTGGACACCAGCACCGAGGGGCCTCCAGGGGACCTCTAGGGACCTGCTTCCACGCCGGCTCTACCTCCCAGCTCCCAAGCCGTCAGACCTCCGCCAAGGCGGCCCTCAGAGGTCCGGGGCACCCGCACCTCCTGGAGACAAACAGAGAGGCAGGCCCCGCAGGCACTCACCCCACGGCCACGCGGCGCCAACGCCGAGCCGGCCGCACGATGAGCGCGTCCCAGGCGGCTGCCAACCGGCCCTCAGGGGAGCCGGCTCCTGGGGGTGCGGGCGCCGGCCCCAGCTGCAGCGAACTCCACAGCGAGCGCAGAGCCGACCCCGGCAGCTGCGGTTCCAGCAGGAAGACGCAGCCCACCGCGAGCGCCAGGAAGCCAGCGTACGCGGAGCCACGCCACAGCGCCATGGAGACAGAGGCGTGGAAGCGACAGAGAACACCTCCTTGCCCGGCCCTCGCCTCTTCCGGGCTCAGCACGCGCCAACGTAGACTCGCGCGCCACGTCACGCCGGCGCGCCGTGGTCCCTCGGATGGGCGGGGCGCGGCGGGGCGGTAGACGTAAGAGAGGGGCGGAGACTCCTGTTCCTTGGTAGGAATCTTGGCTCTTGGGGGCGCGCGCGGTTTTGAGGCTCTGAGGGAGGTTGGACAAAGGCCATAATGTCTGTCCAGGCGCTGTACCCTTTCCCAGAACTCCATCCGTACCCAAAAATAGAGAGGCAAGGATCCGTTTGTTTTCCTAGTAGGATGAACCAGACCGATTTTGAAGGAGCGGGTAGACCGCGTGTCAGTCTTTGAGCCGGTCGGTGTTCCAATTTGAGCTGAACCAGCAGTTCCTCAGAGGGGCACAAATCGCACTCGCCCTGTTTTAATCTGTCCCTCTGCCAGTCTGTCCATCCTCCATTGTTAACTAAGCTCACCGTCTTTCAGACCCGGGGCTTGGCGCTCCCCAGAGGAATACGATGGCAGCAGTGCTGCCTTGAGCCCTTGGGGACACGAGTGGCAAGGGGGATTCTGTCCCTTTGGAGGGTGACCGAGACCTGCAGCTGTTTGGGGGCGTTTGCCCTGACTGAGCGGAGTCCGCAGGGATTGTCCTCGCTGGATGATCAGCTTCGAACGTTAAAATAACCCTTGGGGGCGCTGTTCCCTTTAACAACCTCAGAACATGCACAAATGCACAGTCTTGTGTACAACACAAGGGGTTTGGGCCCCGCGTTAAGAAACCCTGGTTTCTCCTCGTCTCCCTTGGTAACATGACTTAAACCCAGCAGACCCTGTCTTCACTATGACTCTTCTGTGTGTGAGCCTCCGTTGAGAGGCAGTGAAGCTAGGCTTGCTGCCAGCTCATTCTCAGCAGTCGTCTTGCCAGGCCTGGTCTTGTTGCTGGATGGTTTCCATTTTTCCAGTTCTGCTGGCTCCTGACCTTGGCTCTGTGTCCGATTTTCCATTCTGCTCCTGACCTTTGGACTTGGCAGTGGTTCTTTATTTCTCTAGCTTTGATCTTGGGCATTTGGCTTCATTTCCCCCAGCATTTCCCTATCCTGGTCATCTACCCTCCCTGTTTCACCCCACCCAGCCCACCTGACCATAACATTCCTTTCAAAGGAGATGTTCACACAGGAAGAGATCTGGGATATTACAGAAAAGAAAGGAGCCAGTGAGATCTGTATGAAGCTATCTTCACTAGAGTTACCTGTCCCTTCTCTCACCTCAGGGAGACATGTCAGATAGTTCCCAGAGAAACTGCTCCCCCACATGACCCCCAGTGAGCAGGTTTTCCTACCACCCTATAAGTGACTGAACCAGCACGTAATTCAAAAGCAGTGAATTCACTGACTGGCCAGAGACCACGTCTCTCCACTGAGAATTTGAGCCAAGAGTCAAGAGTCTGTAGCTAGTTGGTTTGGGTGTGGACCTGCAAGGTCACATAATGTTGAAGGTTAGATAGGGCCAGATAAATATATTCCCAAGGTGGAGTTTTAGGGGGCAGCTGAGGAAGCTGAACTGTGGGAAGACCATGGAGCAAACAAGCTTAGAGGAAGAGGAAAAGTGATGTAAAAATAAAGCCACCTGGGGCCTTCCCTTCTGGCTCCCAGGAGACTTGCTAAGCTGCCAGCACTTAGTACTGAATTCTTTTGCTTTTTCCTAGGCTTGCCAGAACTTTCCCCTCCTCTAGTTTTATTGAGATATAATTGACATATAACATTGTACAAGTTTAAGGTGTATTACATATACATTTTGTGCAATGATTACCACAATAAGTTTAGTGAACATTTATCACCTACATAACAATTTTCTTTTTTTCTTGTAGGACTTTTAAGATCTACTCTATTAGCAACTTTCAAATATATCATACTAGAATTTGAGCTTTACTCACAGAGGCAAAACTGAGACAGGCTGGAATCTGGGACCCTTTACTACAGTGCTTTTACCTGAACAAATGTCTCCTCCCCTCCTCCTGGAGAAGCAGTTTACAAAGAAACTATGAGGGACTAAAAAATAACTGCATACTTGGGGAGTCAGGCAAATTATGAACTATAAAATACAAAAAGGCCAAAACACAACTGCCACTTCTTTTTTAAGTTTAATTAATTTTTTAAAATACATTTTTTTTATTGAAAGTGAAAGTGTTAGTTGCTCAGCGATGTCTGACTCTGTGACTCCATGAATTGAGGCCTACCAGGCTCCTCTGTCCATGGCATTTCCCAGGCAAGAATACTGGAGAATCCCTTCTCCAGGGGATCTTCCCTACCCAGGGATCAAATCCCGGTCTCCTGTGTTGCAGGCAGATTCTTTACTAGCTGAACCACCAGGGAAGCACCCCCACCCCCACCTTTTAAATTGAAGTGTAGTTGAATTACAGTGTTGTTTTAATTACTCATACACAGCAAAGTGACTCAGTTATACATACATAATATATATATTCTTTTTCATATTCTTTTCCATTATGGCTTACCTCAGGATATTGAATATAGTTCCCTGTGCTATACAGTAGGACCTTGTTGTTTATCCATCCTATATACACCAGTTTGCATCTGCTAATCCCAAACTCCCAATCCAACCCTCTCCCATTTTCTTCCCCTTTGCCAGCTGCCACTTCTGAGGTGCTGGGAGCCAAACCAGAGTGCTGCATGTGATCCCTGCACACAGCACCATGAAGCGGGTGGGCAAACCACCTGAGCCAACCTTCCAACCAGACCCAGCAGTCCACCCTTACCCTCACCCCGCTTAAGGGACCAGCTCACCTGTCCTCCCTTAGAGAGCCAGCAAAGGCATCTGTTACTAGTTTTCACTGCCTTGTGCTACATCATGAGTTCCAGTTTCAGGCAAATTCCTTGCCTTAATTTCTTGTCTGGCCTCTTACTAATTCCTGTTGATTAAAGAGTTCAAGAACACAGGCTGGTAACAAACAACAGCAGCTTGAACAAAACGGAAGTTGATTTCTCCTGTAAAAGTTCAAATGGGACTTCCTTGGCGGTTCAGTGGTTAAGACTCTGAGCTTCACAATGCAGGGGGCTTGGATTGGATCCCTGATTGGAGAACTAAGATCCCACATTCTGTGAGGTGCGGCCAAAAAAAAAATGTCCAAACAGGGTGCTAATACTCTGGGCAACAGCAGCAAGCTAGAGATGCTCTGTGGCTCCTATTGGTTGATCGTTCAGTGTCAGTTTGCACTGTGGGTGGTGATGAGGTGGGACATGGTGCTCCCCTAATTCTAACTGAGAATCAGAGGCAGGAGCTGCAGGAATTGAAGAACATGAGTGAGCGTTGCCCGTCATGGTGGAGCCTGTTGTGGCTTCTGGTCTCATAGCAGTCACAGGGGCCTTGATTCCTTCCGCTCCTCACTAGGGGCTCAGGGGCAGGCATTCAGTGTTCTCCATACGACAGTTCCTCTTGAAAGATTTCATTAGTGAGCAATAGTCATTTCAGATTTGATCATCGATCTGTTTAATGATTCTGGAATGCTTTACAAGCCAATTGTTTTTCTTGAGGTTAGATTTCTGGGGGCAGTTATACAAAACAGCCCTAAGTGGATAGGTGGGGCTTCCCGTGCTGAACAAAGAGAAAAGGACTGTACAAGCCTCAAGGCACCCCTCCCCCAACCCAAATTGCTTCCAGACATGGCCTTTGTTATTGGTTATCTCTCTGAGGACCTTGAAATGAGAGCAAAAAGCAACTTTATTTCTGAAAGTGCAGAGGCAGACAGAGGCTACAGGTGTGCCACCCAAGACGCTGACGGGGAAGGCCAAGGAGCAGATCTCATATTTATACAAGGAGTTAGCAGAGTCTTGTCAGTCCCACATTAGCTTAAGGCAAGGTCTTCCCTGGTGGCCCAGAGGGTAAAGACTCTGCCTGCAGTGTGAGAGACCTGGTTTGACCCCTGGGTGGGGAAGATCCCCTGGAGAAGGGAATGACAACCCACTCCAGTGTTCTTGCCTGGGGAATCCCAGGGACAGAAGAGCCTGGAGGACTGCAGTCCATGAGGTCACAGAGAGTCGAACACAGCTGAGCGACTAACACATGCACACAGTCTTTAGCCTCAACATAAACACCAGTCAACACACTATCCATGTGACCTGAAGGGTTTTAAGAAGCAAGTTTTTTCCCACTTTTGGAATAGAAACTAAAGTAGGACCAAACAGGCCTCATGAAAGCTGGGATAAGCCACTTTTCCCATAGTTTTAAGCCTCTAGGGTTTGATCTAAAGTGCTTGCTGAAGTCCATTCTGTGTCGAGGCCTTTGCTGATGCCAGGGACATCACCCAACACAGGTCACACCCAAAGGCCAGCATCAGAGCACAGCTTTGATGGTTATAGAAAACTCTCAAGAGACAAAAAAGAAGGAATAAAGGATCCTGGGATCCGAAGAGAGCAGGCTTTGTGTCTGGAGCCAGAGCTCTCAGACTGTCAGACATCCTCCTCCCTAAGCTGCATCAGCAGGAAACTAGCAAAACAGAGGATGGGCTGCTGCATGGGACGAGGCGGCACGCTTGGAGGCACAGGAGCTGGGTGACAAGAATGGTGGCAGTCAAGCAGTGAAGAGAGGTATGCCGGCTCCTTGCCAGTGACCAAACCTTGCTGCTGGATTGGGAACTTCTTAGCGTGTGGGGATGTAACGGTGCAGTGGTCCTACATTTGCACTTCAGGATGAACTGCTCGGAGAGAGTGCTGAGCAGGGAAAAGTGGGAGGTGCAGTGCTTCTGTCTGGCAGGGACCCAAGAGCTTCACAGGGCAAACTAGTCAGCAGGCAGGTGAAGCACGGGCTGGTCCCATGGTGCTCTCTGGACACCTCAGGCTCCCTGGAATACTGCCATCACACTGCCTGGGGACTTCCTTGGTGGTCTAGGGGTTAAGAATCTGCTTTCCAATGCAGGGGACTCAGGTTTGATCCCTGGCAGGGAACTAAGATTC